CCGCTCCCATGCCACCTTTCGCACCCTTCTCCTCCTCCTTAACCGCGCGGGGGACATCTCTCCCCCTCATCCGGGCCCTACACCCACCTCCCTCACGCGCTCACAACCCCTCTCCCGCCTCCACGTCCTGACCCCAACCCCCGCAAACCTTAGTATCTGGTCCCCTGCTCCCTAAAATCTCCCCCCCGGTTTCATGTGCACACCTGAATGCTCCGATCGTTGTGCAACAATAACAAAAGCTCAGCACCGCCATTCCCCGACCTCTTTGTTTCCCGCTTCCCTCAACATTTCTAGCGATCACAGAAACCAGGATTCCAGCCCAACTGACATCCACCTCCCCATGCTGCACTCTCCTATGGGGGGGGGGGAAGGTCTCTCCTGGACCCACTCACCCAGACCCATACGTCATTAAAGGTGGTTGGGGTTCTGGTCTGCTCCAGTCACCTAGCAGAGTGCACCTTCCGAGTCCTCCGAAACCCCCCCTCCATATCCCTACTCCTCCTTCCGAGGCCCACTGCGACCGAATCTATTCTCCCAACCCCCCTGAAGATAGCTGTGATATACCGGCCCCTCCGGATCCATTTTACCCCGCTTTTCCTTGGATGACTTTTCCTCCTGGCTTACCCTTCTTCCTCTTTTTTTCCTCTGAGCTACCCACCATCATCTTGGGGATTTCAACATCCCTGATCCAACCATCAACACCCGACTACATCCCATCTCCTCCACTTAACCTCCTCCTTTGCACTTGCACAGTGCATACAATCCACCCACCACTCCAACGGTTAATATCCTTGATCTTGTCTTCTCCAACCGCTGCGCTCCCCCACAACCTCACTAACACACCTCCCCATTTCAGTCCGGACACTTTCCCCCCCCATTCCAGTCCTGGACTTCCTGACATCTTCCTTCCCATTCCCAGTCCGGACACCTCCCCCCCCCCATTCCAGTACAAAACACTGTCCGTCCCCCCCATTCCCAGTCCTGGACACTTTCCCCCCCCCTTCCAGTGCTGGACCCCTTCCCCCCATTCCAGTACGAACACTTTCCCCCCATTCCAGTTCAGACACTTCCCCCCCCCCCCCCCCATTCCAGTCCAGAAGACTTTCCCCCCCTTCCAGTCTGGACGCTCCCCCCCCATTCCAGTCTGGATGGCTTCCCCCCCATTCCACAGACACTTCCAGACATCCCTTCCCCCCCCCATTCCATCCAGACACTTTCCCCCCTTCCATCTGGACACTTTCCCCCCCCCTTCAAGGTCTGGACACTTTCCCCCCTTCCAGCCTCCGGACACTTTCCCCCCCTTCCAGTCCAGGACCACGTCTTCCCCCCCTTCCAGTACCTGCGACACTTTCCCCCCATTCCAGTCCAGCACATTCCCCTCTTCCAGTCCGGACGCTTCCCCCCCATTCCAGTCTGGACGCTTCCCCCCCATTCCAGTCCTCAGACTCCACTTTCCCCCCCTTCTCCAGTCTGACGCTTCACCCCCCCATTCCAGTCCCAGACACTTCCCCCCCTTCCAGTCCGGACACATTTTCCCCCCCCTTCCAGTCGGACGCTTCCCCCCCCATTTCCAGTCTGGAACGCTTCCCCCCCCCCCTTCCAGGCTTGACGCTTCCCCCCCCCCCAGTCCTGGACACTTTGCCCCCCACATTCCCAGTCCGGACAACCTTCCCCCCCATTCCAGGTCCCGACACTTCCCCCCTCCCCCGCTTCCAGTCCTGGACATGTAGAGGGGGCACTATATACCAGTGGACAGGTGTCACCAACCTCCTCGTAGGCTGATAATTTCCCAGAGGACAGTTTATGAGGATCAGGAGGAACTGCACGATATGAGCACCTGTCACTCACAGGCCTTGACCCACACACAAAGGTTTGATGGAGAAAAGGTTTCTGATGAGCCTACATTCAGCAACACAATGAATATTGTGACCAATAGGAAAGAGATGATAGGATAGACAAGGACACATCCACCAGAGATTGTGCCTGTTTATGACAACATTCTCCACACAAACACCAGAAGGCCATTAGTAGAATCAATAAGATAGGCGGGGAATTCTAAAAGACGGATCCAGTCCGGTCACAGATTTTACTGCCGGAACCTGAGATAAATTTGGTAAGGCAGCTGCCTCTCAGAACAGAATAGCACTAATTAGTCCATCCACCAGCAATGACGTCCCTTTTTAAAATAGAAACAACGAGTCGTTTTCATGTTGTAACACTGGCAGATCATATGAAAGTGAGACGTTTGTTCCATGTAATACTCGATTTGTAGTGTATGTGCTTGGAGTGTCCTTGTGGTAAGCAGTATATAGGACGCACCACCAGAAGGCTGAGGGATACATTCCATCAACACGTATAGAATATTACAAGGGGTGTTACAGAGCGTTCCCTCTCAAAGCATTCTACATATTTCCACAACAAGGACCCTTCCACACTGACATTTGTAGGAATTGATATCCTCCAACCACATTGGAGAGGCACACACACAAGGAGAGCGGTGTCACAACCTGAACACAAATGGATTATGGAAATGGGCACTTTACTTCCTGCAGGACACAATATAGAGATCCATGACAACGGCTTCATTCATAACAGTTCATTATTATTTGTAACCCGACAACTACTCCACTGACACCAATGTAAGGGAGACATACTACTCCACTGACACCAATGTAAGGGACATACTACTCCACTGACACCAATGTAAGGGACATACTACTCCACTGACACCAATGTAAGAGAGATACTACTACTCCACTGACACCAATGTAAGGGACATACTACTCCACTGACACCAATGTAAGAGACATACTACTCCACTCACCAATGTAAGAGACATACTACTCCACTGACACCAATGTAAGGGACATACTACTCCACTACCAATGTAACTGACACTCCACTGACACCAATGTAAGGACATACTACTCCACTGACACCAATGTAAGGGACATACTACTCCACTGACACCAATGTAAGAGAGATACTACTCCACTGACACCAATGTAAGGGATATACTACTCCACTGACACCAATGTAAGGGACATACTACTCCACTGACACCAATGTAAGGGGACATACTACTCCACTGACACCAATGTAAGGACATACTACTCCACTGACACCAATGTAAGGGACATACTACTCCACTGACACCAATGTAAAGGATACTACTACTCCACTGACACCAATGTAAAGGACATACTACTCCACTGACACCAATGTAAGGGACATACTACTCCACTGACACCAATGTAAGGGACATACTACTCCACTGACACCAATGTAAGGGACATACTACTCCACTGACACCAATGTAAGGACATACTACTCCACTGACACCAATGTAAGGGACATACTACTACTCCACTGACACCAATGTAAGGGACATACTACTCCACTGACACCAATGTAAGGGACATACTACTCCACTGACACCAATGTAAGGGACATACTACTCCACTGACACCAATGTAAGAGACATACTACTCCACTGACACCAATGTAAGGGACATACTACTCCACTGACACCAATGTAAGAGACATACTACTCCACTGACACCAATGTAGGGACATACTACTCCACTGACACCAATGTAAGGACATACTACTCCACTGACACCAATGTAAGGACATACTACTCCACTGACACCAATGTAAGAGACATACTACTCCACTGACACCAATGTAAGGGACATACTACTCCACTGACACCAATGTAAAGGACATACTACTCCACACCAATGTAAGGGACATACTACTCCACTGACACCAATGTAAGGACATACTACTCCACTGACACCAATGTAAGGGACATACTACTCCACTGACACCAATGTAAGGGACATACTACTCCACTGACACCAATGTAAGAGACATACTACTACTCCACTGACACCAATGTAAGGGACATACTACTCCACTGACACCAATGTAGGGACATACTACTCCACTGACACCAATGTAAGGGACATACTACTCCACTGACACCAATGTAAGGACATACTACTCCACTGACACCAATGTAAGGGACATACTACTCCACTGACACCAATGTAAGGGACATACTACTCCACTGACACCAATGTAAGAGACATACTACTCCACTGACACCAATGTAAGGGACATACTACTCCACTGACACCAATGTAAAGGACATACTACTCCACTGACACACAATGTAAGGGACATACTACTCCACTGACACCAATGTAAGGGACATACTACTCCACTGACACCAATGTAAGGACATACTACTCCACTGACACCAATGTAAGAGACATACTACTCTCCACTGACACCAATGTAAGGGACATACTACTCCACTGACACCAATGTAAAGGACATACTACTCCACTGACACCAATGTAAGGACATACTACTCCACTGACACCAATGAAACATGACACACATCACCCCCATACTTAAAAACCCTCCCTGGACCCCAATGACCCGAACAACCTCAGACCCATCTCCCTGCTCCCATTTACATCCAAACTCCTCGAGCGCCTCGTCTACTACCCACCTAAGCCAAAATCCGCACGTTCCTAACCCCAGAAACCACTAAACAGATCATCCCCTCCCTCATCATCATATCACGACTGACTACTGCAACTCCCTCCTCACTGGCCTGCCTCGCCACAGGCTATCCCCACTTCAGTCCATCCTGAATACGGCTGCCAGACTCATTCACCTTTCCAACCGCTCCATCTCTGCCACCCCAATCTGGACAATCCCTCCACTGGCCTCCATTCAGTGTCATACTACTCCACCACCAATCTGCCAATCCCTCCACTGACCTCCACTCAGTGTCCTCCACCCCCCTCTGCCCTCCCTCCACAGGACCTCCACTCAGTGTCCCACACCCTCTCTGCCAATCCCTCCACTGGCCTCCATCCCTCCACTGGCCTCCAATCAGTGTCCTCCACTGACACCTCTCTCTGCCAATCCCTCCACTGGCCTCCCTCAGTGTCCTCCACCCCCCTCTGCCAATCCCTCCACCACTGGCCTCCACTCAGTGTCCTCCACCCCCCTCTGCCAATCCCTCCACTGGCCTCCACTCAGTGTCCCTCCACCCCTCTGCCAATCCCTCCACTGGGCCCCTCCACTCAGTGTCCTCCACCCCCCTCTGCCAATCCCTCCACTGGCCTCCACTCAGTGTCCTCCACCCCCCCTTGCCAATCCCTCCACTGGCCTCCACTCAGTGTCCTCCACCCCCCTCTGTGCCAATCCCTCCACTGTCCTCCACCCCCCCTCTGCCAATCCCTCCACTGGCCTCCACTCAGTGTCCTCCACCCCTCTCTGCCAATCCCTCCACTGGCCTCCACTCAGTGTCCTCCCCCCCCTCTGCCAATCCCTCCACTGGCCTCCACCCCCCTCTGCCAATCCCTCCACTGGCCTCCACCAGTGTCCTCCACCCCCCTCTGCCAATCCCTCCACTGGCCTCCACTCAGTGTCCTCCACCCCCCTCTGCCAATCCCTCCACTGGCTTCCGATTGCACAACGGATCAATGCAAAATCCTAACACTGACGTACAAAGCCTGTCCACCATACTGCCCCGAACTACATCACTGACCTAATATCAGTGTCCACCACCCAACACCACACTCCGCTCCTCACAAGACCTCCTTCTCTCTAGTTCCCTGGTCTCCTCCTGGCCTCTCTAGTTCCCTGGTCTCCTCCTCCCCTCTAGTTCCCTGGTCTCCTCCTCTCTAGTTCCCTGGTCTCCTCCTTCTCTCTAGTTCCCTGGTCTCCTCCTCCCCTCTAGTTCCCTGGTCTCCTCCCTCTCTAGTTCCCTGGTCTCCTCCTCCTCTCTAGTTCCCTGGTCTCCTCCCCTCTCTAGTTCCCTGGTCTCCTCCTCCCCTCTAGTTCCCTGGTCCTCCCTCCCCCCTGCCTATCCCTCCCTGGTCTCCTCCTTCTCTCTAGTTCCCTGGTCTCCTCCTTCTCTCTAGTTCCCTGGTCTCCTCCTCCTCCCCTCTAGTTCCCTGGTCTCTCCTCCTGCCCCTCTAGTTCCCTGGTCTCCTCCTAAAATCCCTCTAGTTCCCTGGTCTCTCTCCTCCCCTCTAGTTCCTGGTCTCCTCCTTCTCTCTAGTTCCCTGGTCTCCTCCTTCTCTCTAGTTCCCTGGTCTCCTCCTTCTCTCTAGTTCCCTGGTCTCCTCCTTCTCTCTAGTTCCCTGGTCTCCTCCTCTCTCTAGTTCCCTGGTCTCCTCCTTCTCTCTAGTTCCCTGGTCTCCTCCTTCTCTCTAGTTCCCTGGTCTCCTCCTTCTCTCTAGTTCCCTGGTCTCCTCCTTCTCTCTAGTTCCCTGGTCTCCTCCTCCCTCTAGTCCCTGGTCCTCCTCCTCCCCTCTAGTTCCCTGGTCTCTCTCTCCTAGTTCCCTGGTCTCCTCCTCTAGTTCCCTGGTCTCCTCCTTCTCTCTAGTTCCCTGGTCTCCTCCTTCTCTCTAGTTCCCTGGTCTCCTCCTTCTCTCTAGTTCCCTGGTCTCCTCCTTCTCTCTAGTTCCCCTCTCCTCCTCTCTCTCCTTCTCCCTGTCTCTCCTCCTTCTCCCTCTAGTTCCCTGGTCTCCTCCTTCTCTCTAGTTCCCTGGTCTCTCCTCCTCCCTCTCTAGTTCCCTGGTCTCTCCTCTCTCTCTAGTTCCCTGGTCCTCCTCCTCTCTCTAGTTCCCTGGTCTCCTCCTCTCTCTAGTTCCCTGGTCTCCTCCTCTCTCTCTAGTTCCCTGGTCTCCTCCTTCTCTCTAGTTCCCTGGTCTCCTCTTCCCCTCTAGTTCCCTGGTCTCCTCCTCCCCCCCTCCTCCAGGACTTCCCCAGGGTGTCTCCCATCCTCTGGATATAGAAATCTAGGGCGTGGCTGTATTTCGATGGCAGTAAGTGCTGTGACCATGTCCACCTTCCACGCTGTCTGTGTTGGACACCATTTCCACGTAAAGCTGGCATTGTTCTACCCCAAAGCTGCGCTGTGTTGGAACACAAATATTGCTGCTGTGAAGTGAAGGAGCAGAAAGATCTGTGAAAGCCGACATTTAAAGGGGACTATGGAGATGGACCTCTGCATGTTCCTGCAAGGAAAGAGTCCGTCACATTGGTGACCATTGTCCTTCACAGACACCTTGGCTGATCACCGCAAATAGGAGCCCCCCCACAAGGAGATCTACTGAAGGAAGGAAGCGGCCCATAAGAGGTAAGGATCCAGGGTGTTGGCCCCTAGGGGTCACTGGGGGGAGGAGGCAATCTAGCCCCAATAGGAGAAGATTTTGGCCCAATCATTGTTGCACAGAGTGGACAGTTGTTTGCACTGTTTTGGCTCTATAGCACTTTATGTATAGAAAGTTTATAAATTATTATTATGTATTAGTAGGTGTGTGAGCACGGGAGTTCATGTTTACACACGTGTTTCTATGTATTTACAGTGTGAACACGCATGGCCCATTATTTATACAGTAGGTGTGTGAGCACGGGGTAAGGGGTTTACACACGTTTCCATGTATTTACAGTGTGAACACGCGGGGGTCCATTATTTATACAGTAGGGTGTGGTGAGGGGATGAGTTCATGTTTACACAGTGTTCTATGTATTTACAGTGTGAAAGTTCATGTTTACACACGTGTTCTATGAATTTACAGTGTGAACACGCGTGAATTTATACAGTGGTGGAGCACGGGAGTTATGTTTTACACGTGTTCTATGTAGGTACAGTGTGAACACGGGCGTGCTTCCATTGAATTTTCACAGGGTTGTGACGGGTTCGCGGGATGTATGTTTACACGTGTTCTATGGAAGGTGAACACGCGTGTCCATTATTTATACAGTAGGTGTGTGAGCACTGGGAGTTCATGTTTTACACACACGTGTTCTATGTATTTACAGTGTGAACACGCGTGTCCATTATTTATACAGTAGGTGTGTGAGCACGGGAGTTCATGTTTACACACGTGTTCATGTATTTACAGTGTGAACACGCGTGTCGTGTTTATTATTTATGTGTTGATCGGTGTTGGAGGAGACATGTTTACACACGTGTTCTATGTATTTACAGTGTGAACACGCGTGTCCATTATTTTTACAGTAGGCCAGTGGAGGGAGAGGCAGAGGGGGTATGGAGCAGTGGAGGGTGATGTATTTATGGAGTTGTGTGATGAGCAGGCAGTTTATGTTAGCCAGTTACACGTTAGAGGTTGTCCATTATTTATAGGTAGGTGTGTGAGCACGGGAGTTCATGTTTACACACGTGTTCTATGTATTTACAGTGTGGCAACACTGAGTTCATTATGGTTATAGCGGGGACAGTTTACAGTATGCACTTATGGGTATTGTTACACTGTTGCATGAAGAACGAGTTGCAGTATTAGATTGGTGAGGTTGTATTGATGAATCAGTGTCACATATTTGTTTGTATTGTATTTACATGTGACACTGTCTGTCCGTATCTTGCAATATTGCGTAGCAGATGGACACACTGCAGGTGTTTAGGTGTACAGTTGATGAAGACGTTGACATGCAGATTAGGAAGGCAGGTTCTATTCAAGAATACGCCAAGGATTTTATTTGTATTTTTACGGAGACCTTTGATCCCTGGAATGATGTTTTACCCTCTTAAAGACGAGGATCTCGGTTTTGGAGAGCAGGACCCCTGATTATCTCCTTTAGGACCCATCCTGGAAGTCCCTACCCCAACCCATCAACCCATACTACACCCTGACTGTCTTCCTGAGCACCCTGATGCCCCACCCTTGGGGGTTGAGCCTACCCCACCCTGGAGAGGTACTGCCGACCTCCTCCACTCTGTCCTACCACCCCATCCCCCACAGCTATCTCCTCCTGTACCACCATCCCCCCCTCCTAGATTGTAAGCTCCCAGGATCAGGGCCCTCGATCCCCTCATGTATCACATTGTATTGGTATTGTTCTGTCACATGTTCTGTCCCCTCTGTAATGTACAGCGCTGAGCCAACTATCGGGGCTTTATAAATCCTGTATAATAATAATAATAATGGATGTAAAAGGCAATGTGTTTGCTGTGCTCCTCGGTGTCAGTGATCTCCCCTCCTATCAGCTGGTGAATGTTCTGCACGGCTCTGGATCCGGGAACTTTGTGCAGCTGTTGTTCTGTCTGTCCTCCTCTCTGCCATGGACAGCTGCTACCCCCCCCCTCCTACATTTACCCCCCCCCCCCCTCCCCCTCCACCTGACACCACATTTCATCCCAGTCCAAGAAAACACAGAGACCCCCCGTTCTCCAGGCTGGGACTGGGAGAGATCAGATTCCGGGACTGGCAGAGGGAAGTCATATAATCGCAGCACTGATTACTGACACCACATGTCATGTAATGGCATGTCATACACTCCATGAATGGCATTCTACTCCACTGACACCAATGTAAGGGACATACTACTCCACTGACACCAATGTAAGGGACATACTACTCCACTGACACCAATGTAAGGGACATACTACTCCACTGACACCAATGTAAGGGACATACTACTACCACTGACACTGACACACTGACACCAATGTAAGGGACATACTACTCCACTGACACCAATGTAAGGGACATACTACTCCACTGACACCAATGTAAGGGACATACTACTCCACTGACACCAATGTAAGGGACATACTACTCCACTGACACCAATGTAAGGGACATACTACTCCACTGACACCAATGTAAGGGACATACTACTCCACTGACACCAATGTAAGGGACATACTACTCCACTGACACCAATGTAATGGGACATACTACTCCACTGACACCAATGTAAAGGACATACTACTCCACTGGACACCAATGCTAAGGGAGGGACATACTACTCCACTGACACCAATGTAAGGGACCAATGTAAGGGACATACTACTCCACTGACACCTAAGGGACATACACTCCACTGACACCAATGTAAGGGACATACTACTCCACTCCACTGACACTGACACCAATGTAAGGGACATACTACTCCACTGACACATACTACTCCACTGACACCAATGGGACATATACTACTCCACTGACACCAATGTAAGGACATACTACTCCACTGACACCAATGTAATGGACATACTACTCCCTCAATGTAATGGTGTGGGTGTCCCCAGTGTGCCGTCCCCCTTTCCTCGTGTCCCGGGTATTATATACAGTATATACACAGTGTGTCTGTAGAGCCTGTAGTGTCCCGTCTTGTCTATTCTTAGTCTCTATCCAT